GGATGTGACTTCCAAGGAATCATTATTAGCTGACTGCACACAGCTTGTGTGTGGCTGATGTGGAGTCACAGGGACTGTCTGGGAAGGCTGGGAGTTGGATCTGAGATGGGGCTGTCACTCGTGTGGGTCTAACTCAAAATGGCAGCCTAATGGTTTTTGTCCTGGTTATTATGGCTATTGTGGTTGTCCTTATGGTGATTGCTGTGACGGTTGGGTGCAACAATACTGGTGCCCAGTGTATACTTAGCCCTCAGCCTGTGTGGGATACTGGCCTGGCATCGAGAATGGTGACAATGTGCTCCGCAGGACTCTGGGTCACTCAGCACCTGAACAGTGGCATATCCTGCTTTCCACCAGCCCTTGTCCCTTACCCAAGGACAAAGTTTATATGATAGCATTTGACATGTTAATGTTCTGTTGATGAGGGTTATGACTGTGGAAAGCAGAAATCAGTGATAAGAAAGGGCATGCAGAGCAACAGGGTTGGCTGCCGACACTGTCTTTGGATGAATTCTCAGAGTACTGGCCACGAAAAGAGGCATAACTTTGTTGCCTGACCCTCTCCAGTGGCCCATTAGGAACTCCTTCCTGCCTCCATGGCTTGGAGATGACCATCCAGGCAGCCTCTGGATGAGCCATGACCATGAGTCGGGTAAGCCATGTATGGGCCCAGAGCAAGAGTCTTGATGCCAGCTGGTCTCGCAGAGGGGCTGAGCCTGAAGCTCTTGGACAGCTGACAGAGCACCTCTGGCCAAGACAAGTGGCCCTGAACTTTGAGGGTGGAGATGTGGGGCAAAGCAGTTTAGGGTGGCTTCTCATAATTGGGGTGTCATCTAGACTAAATCCAGGTGGCCAGGTACTGAGGATGCCCAGAAAGAAGTCCCTGTGGCATGTCCCTTCAGACAGAGAACAGCCTCACCAGAATGAAATAGCCATGAGGGATGTGCTTGGCTTCCAGAAGGCTCTGCTCTGTGTCTTGTTGGCCGTTCTGGACTGTGGTGCCAGAAGATGAGTGGAGTGAAAGGGGTTGGCCTCTTCCCGCCACTCCTGCTCTGCTTCCTGGACGCAGTCCTCCTCGTTCCCAGGAGGAGGCGATGCTTCAAACTACTCACCCCATCTTCTCCCTGCTCACCCATCTTCTCCCTGTGCATGTGGTGTTCCTCAGGCCTGAGTCCCCTTTCCTCCCACTATCTCTGCTTTTTTTCTCGGGCTTCTGGGTGCTCAGTGGGACTCGTTTCTGGGGCACATCACCAAGGAGAGGGGTTTTATTGGTCCTCTCCTTCCACTCTCATCTGTCACAGCCCCCTGCCCAACACTCTTCATTCTTAATAAGTTTCCCCATTCTTCATCAAAATCCTGACTCAACGCCAGTCCTTTACTGCCCTGAAAATTTACCTCATGGTGTTTCACTAATGAAAATAAAATAAAATAATTAAAAAGAAAAAAAGAAAGAAAGAAAGAAAATTTTCCCAAATCACAACTCTTGAGTGAATGAATACCTGATGTCCAGGCTGATGTATCTTCCTAAATCTAAGTGAGAAACAGCTATTTCTGGCTCTGCTTTTTGGTCTATGATTTTGGCCATCTTGTCCACCTTCCCTTAATTTCTAGTTGACCATTGGGTTTCTCATTGATACTTCAAGTTGACCAATGGATGGTTGGACTACCCATTGAAGAGGTCTGGATGAGTATTAGACCCAAGGGAAGCCCCCAAACCCACAAGTCTGTTTTAGATCAAACACCCCAACTCGCAAAAATCTAGCAGAGCAAAGGTCTACACTACTAGAATTGGAAATGACTCTGGTATTCACCCCTGCCCCAAACCCATGAGTAGGAGGAGATGGGCCCAGAATGGGTGGAGAGGGACTCAGCCTTTATCCACTGACCAGGTTTCAGAGGCAGAGATGGCCTCTTCAGTCAGTGGTGGGGCTCAGTCTGAAGATTTTCCAAGAAATTTCGGGGACTAGTTGCAGAATGTCTCATTGCAAGACAAGAAACCCATTTCCCACTTTCCTGCACTCACACTCACCTCCCTATTTAGCTTCTAGTGGGAATTTCTTGGCATTGCCTGATGACCATAGGGGTAACATATGCCCCAGTGATGGAAACTTTGGGGTGAATCTGGAGGTTCCCTTCTTCCCAATCCCCATGACTAAGTGTCACCTTTGTGCATCTTGAGTTGCAGTGACTGGTGGTCTGAGGGAGTGACACCACTGCAGCATTTTTGCCCAGAAGACTGTGTTTCTGGTAACAGTACACATAAGGTAGAACTTTCAAAAACTGGTAAAATTCAAATTACACACACACACACACAGAGAGAGAGAGAGAGAGAGAGAGAGAGAGAGAGAGAGAGAGAATTTGGCAGTGTTCTCCCAAGTAGTGCTCAGGAGGTCTGAGAACCTCCATTGGCCACCTCGGACTGGTAATTCAGTGCAGGGGCTGAGGCTGCAGTGCTACTCAGACTCTATGGTTCTGGGGGCCGGGGGCAATACCCAGCAGTGCTCAGGGGGTCCATGTGGTACCATGGTTGAACCCAGGGGAGCAGCTGTACTATCACCTGGCCCCCTTTTTAAAATGTCTTGATCTTGTGACACTGTCTCACCAGCTTGCTTTGGAGTCTGCCTGGCTGTACCAGTGACCTCCTGATTGGGACGGTCATGTGATGCTTGGTATCCTTTGAGCTCTCTTCCCCCATCCCCAAACTTACTGAATTATATGAAACCAAAACTTAACCTTAAAGAAAACAAACAAATATCCTACTAGGCTCAGAGGACCATCAGCATACTTGCAAGTTCTAAAATCGGGTTCCAGACACTTTCAACTCTGTGTGAAATCTAGCCTGTTTTCCAGTTGGGGAGCATTGCCAAGAACGGCCCTGCGAGGTGAGAGCAGAGAATAATTCAGAGAGGTGTCAAGGTCTGCTGGCATCTGACGCTCTTCCCCAAAGGCCTGCTTCATTCCGTCATTCACACTTCACCTTTTCTCTATTCCAAGGTGACTTTTCCTTCCACTCTTATTTTATGCTCTGTAGTCACAATAGCTCACTTCAGATGTTCGCGTGCTCTCTGAGGGATATTTCCTACATCTGCTTTGCGGCAGCTATGTCCCTTGCTTCTTAGGGTAGCAGCAGAGGAAGTCTGTGGGAGCCCCATCCCCAGTCCCTGCAAGAAACAGAGCTTCCTCTGACTGTGGCCAGCCTGCAGAACCTGCCTGTCATAGGACCCTGAGTTATTAGGGACGCGTGTCCCTGGCCTGCCTTGGTTATATAATGGGGCCACGAGACTGCACCGCAGTGGTGGTGCTCAGATCAGAAGACCAAAACCTGTTTTTCCAAACTGCTCCCTGTCTGGGGCAGAGCAGAAGCTGCCCCCCCGCCCCCCACTGTGATGCGGTACATCTCGAGCTCCGCTTAGAGGGATGTTTCAGAGGAAGTCCAACCTGTCTCCAGACGGCTCTGCTTCCTTCTCTGCCCAATCTTCCCTTTCTTTTTCTTCTTCCTCAGGATGGAAAGTGCCATTCCCTCCCTGTGCCAGCTGCAGAGCCTCTGGCCCCCGGCCAGCCTTGGAGGTTCGGTCACGGCTAAGACTCAGGTCCAAATCTGAGAGCCTGTCATGCTGGGCAGAGGCCTAGGGTCTTGAGAATGAGTCACCTTTCCCCCACTGAGCCTACACAGGGGTTCCCAAGTGAGAAGTCTTAGCAGGCTGGGACGTAAAGGTCATCCAGGTCCCAACCAACCCCTCATTTAATAGCTAGGGAAACTAATAACTATCACATAGACATGACAGGTGCTGCATGTCATAACTGGGCAGTGGAAGATGGCCAACTGGGTCCACTACCACACCTGCCTGAAGGCAGGGAGCAGCTGGCCTGGGCACCGCTGCATCCCCAGTACAGTGCCTGGTGCCTAGGAGGGGTCCAGCGAATATCTGTTTCAGCCAAGAACAAATGTGTTACCTCTTCCAACACTTCAATTATCTATCAGTCCCCATCTCCTGATACTTAACTGGCTTCCTCCTTGGACAACACCCTCTGCCCCTTTCTCCAGGCTAGTTGAGATCATGGGCACCTGGATGACACTCTGTTTCTCTAAGCCAGGAAGGTGCCAGGTGCCTGCACTGACAGAGCTGACAGGCATCTCTCCAGAAAGACTGCTGCCCATTGGGGTTGCCACCAGCAGAGCCTGGCTGGGGGTGCCCTCTAAGTCTGATACCAGGCTAGAGCTACAGTCTGGCCATGTGGGCGACTGTAGTTGTTTCAGAGGTGTTTCCATTTTTCTTATACACCAAGACTGATCTTTAGGTCAGTTAATAAGAGCAAGAAGTTCACAGGGGTGAAAAGGGAGTGTCTCCAAAAGTTATGGATATTGAAAAGGGTCTCAGAAAGATTTGTGAGCCCCAGAATTAGGAGCTAGATCAGGGTCTTGAAAATGTCTTGCTTTAAGGGACTAGAGACCGTGTGGTCACACTCTGGCCGGGCTTGGTACACGCATCACCCAGGGAGGCCCCTGCCCCAGAATTTCCTGATTCTGGAGTGAGAGAAAGCAGATTCTGAGGAAAGAAAAACTCTGCTTTTTGGCCAGATAGTTGAAGCTCGGCAAGGGTTGTGTTCCCCGACGCTGACTCCAGGAACCGCGCTTCTGTTGGAGAGGTCAGTGTTGCATCGGAAGAGAGCGCAGCTTGGGGGATACTTGGCCGGGAAGGCGGCACGGAGAGGAGGTGTGTGTGTGCGTGTGTGTGTGTGTGTGTGTGTGTGTGTGTGTGTGTGTGTGTGTGTGTGTGTTCGCGCGCGCGCGTGCGCGCGCGGTGGGGCGCCGGGGCTGCTACTGAGGGTGCTGACCCGTGCCCCCTCCCTAGCGGCGCAGCGCGAGCCGTGCCACACCGGGAGTCCTCGCGCCCCGCGTGTGCGCAGGCTGCTCGGTGCACCTGCCGCGGGCCCCGCGCGGGCCGAGCGGCGGCAGGAGGGCGGCGCGCACAGGTGGCGGCGATTGGGCGGGCGGGGCCCGGACGGTGACGTCACGGGCTCGGGTCCCGGCGGCAGAAATAGGGCAGCCGCGGCGGCGGTGGCACAGCGGCGGGCAGCGGCGGGCTCGGAGAGCTGGAGCCGTGACAGCCTCCCGCGCGCCCGGGACCCACCGACAGCCGGAGAGACCCAGCGAAAGACGCGGGCTCGGGTGGCCGTCACCGCGGCCGCTCCCGGGCGTTCCTTCCCGCTCTGCCGAGTCCGGCCACCTGGTCTTCACCTCGGCCCCGCCGCCCCAGGTACGCCGCGCAGCTCCCGAGCAGGCGCGGGGAGGGTGCCCGCCGGTCCCGCGGCTTCCTCCTGGGGTCCCAGTGACCGTGATCGTGCGTCGCCCTGCAGGGCCCGGTGCGGGCGCTGCTTGTCCTCGCCGCCTGCGCCCGGAGAGCCAAGTTTGCCCGCGCGGCCGGCGGCAGGCAAGGGACCGCGGGACCCGGCTCCAGCAGCGCGAGCGGCGGGGCCCGCGGCTCGTGCTCCCGGGCTGCAGCGGGAACCCGGGAGAGCCGGCGGGCGCGCGGAGCGCGGCGCAGAACCGCTCGGGTTGAGCCTGCAGCCCGCGCCCGCTCCCCGCCAGCCCCTGCAGGCACCGCTCCTGGGAGCCCGCCCCAGAGCGGTCTCTGGGAGCCGGGCGAGCGGCGGACCGTCGCCTTGGACCTCGTGCCCTTGGCCTCGAGCTGGGGTGCGGGGCGGGCGCGCTCCCCTGCAGCTCCCTCCAGCTTGCAGGGAAACTTGCGTCTCCGCGCTGCAGCCTCCAGGGCCCGCGGCGCCGCGCCTTGCTCTCCTGCCCCAGGTCCGCGGTGGCCGGTGCGGAGAGCTTGGACTTGGTTGGCAGAGGAGGCGGGTGAGGGGCACGACCCTGCCATCCAAACCGGCTCGGAGAAACCCCTTCTAAAACCCGTCAAATCGGTCTTCGGGGCGAGAGACCCGGGTTCCCTGCTAGGGAGTCACTGGAGAGCAGTTTGTTTGGAGAGGGAGAGTCGAGGGAAGGGATGTTGGCCGCGCTCAGGCCGAGGGTTGGAACCCAAGTGAGCTTGTACCGTGGGTGACCTCCCAGACCCTGAGCATCCGCAAAGGAAACCTGTTCCAAGTTTGGGGGGAACCCGGGCGACTGGCACGCTGAGCGCTCCGCTCGAGTTTGGGGGCGAGCGAGCGCGGCGCGAGCCTGGGGGGCAGGGGCCCCTGATCCAGCGGCGCCCGGAGCGCGTGGGTTCGCAGAGGCCTGCCACCTGAGGACTCGGGCGCCCGCCACTCCCGCGTGAGCAGAAGCCGCGGGCTGCAGCGGGGATGCGCAACGCGGCCGGGATGTGGGACGTGACGGGCAGCCCGTGCTCACGTCCGGCTGCGGCAAGTTCCTGGGGAGACCCGCGAGGGGGGCTCGGCGAGGTCAGCGGCGTTGCCTGCAGAGTTGGTCCGGCGTGCGCTGTCCAGCCCGCCCTCGCTCCGGATAGCTGTCGCGGACGTTGATGGATCGCGCTGCCGCAGCCTACCCTGCGCTCCCCTCTAGGTGTCGCTTCCGCCGCGGTTTCCGGCGAGTGAGAAACAGCGCCCGCAGCTTTGCTCTCCGTCCCTCTTTCTGAAATTTTATCGCCAGCCTGAGCTCCGGGAACTGTGCTCCACGGGCCCCCGATATACAGACACCTGGCCGTGGTCCCTGGGACAAGCAGAGCAGCATTTTGATAGGGGACTCTGCTCATCAAACCGTGTCTCGGGAATGACCCTGTAGTTCATGCCCCATCTGAGAGCAGAGCGGGATCTCTAAAGTCCCAAGTGTATTTTCTTACTACTACACTTAGGAACAACCCAGAGGGGACTTTATTGTTTATCGAACCCTCCGAATCTTGCAGTGGGCAGGGGCCAGGCATTCGGGAAACAGATGGTCAGGAAGTGGGTGATGTAGCTGTTGTGATCATGTCCCCAACACTACTGAGGCCAGAGCTCAAACCCGGATGCTGAGCCCTCGCTTTGCTGCTCCTTGTCTGCCCGGGGTCTTAGTTTGGAGAGAAGATTGCAGCAGCTCCGGGCCATGTCTGCTTAGACACGCTCAACTGAATAATAGCATCCCATGGAGGGAAAAAAACCCTTTCCCTCCCACAGGACTTCAGATTTAGCCAGAAATCACACAAGAAAATAGCCTGCGTTCATAGAATGCATTAAAATTGCTGCTTTTGCAAGTGCTTTTGCTCTGTTGCATCTTTTAAACACTACCATCAGGTTTTGTTCATTGCGGAAGGAGCCAGCTTGGTGTTCTGGGCACTGGTAGGTTGGATTTTCCTCTTAAACCAGCCAGTCAGCCCAGGCTCTTTTCTGCATCTACTTAAAGTGACCTTCACATTGTAACACTCTGACTTAATTCTCTAGTCCAGAAACTTGGCACCGAGCGCTCAAGATTTCCTGAAAACCACCTTCATTCCGACTTTGCCTCTTTTTTGGCTGCACGCTCAACATCTATGTGTTAGTTCATGTGTGATTGCTTATGTGTTTGCTAACTTAAGAAAATTGGTCGTTATTTTGAGACTTACATCTTTCCTTGAGTCTTCTGTCTCTGAATGCATAACACAAGGCAAGAAACAGCATGTAAAATAGGGTCACCACTGAAAGGTCATGGTACTAAAGACACTGAAAGACATCTGGTAGTTGAAAGGTAAGTAATAATGCTGTAGATGGATGCTCAGCACACAAGCTAATGCAGAAATCTGATCTATCAAACATAAAAGTAGATAAATAATTGTGACAAGTAACCGAACATATAAAGTAGATAAATAATAGGAAATGCAAATCACTTCATTAGTGCTTGCTGCAGGACGAATGTGGCATAATTCCTCCCTAAGTTCTCAGAGTTGGCATTTTAGGGACCATTTAGGAAGTTTAAATCACTTTCTTTCTTTTCTCCCTGAAACAATCCCAAATAAAAAGGCTTTCAGAAGAAATCATCTTTTGGTCTCTGGGGCTTAGGTTAGGTTTGAAAGGGCTTTTTAAAATGTATTTATTTTTAAGATCAGGCAGATGAGCAGTAGAGGTCTGTGGGAATCCCATCATTCCCTGTTGGTGTGTTCATCACTGGTGCCCCATGTGTAGAATGCAGTACACCTGAAGTCATGAGCCTTGACAGTTAGAAAGGTTGGCAGTGCAGGTGTCTCTTGGGTTTACTGTCTGGGCAAGGCTGGTGCTGTCACTGGCTTCTGCCAGAATATCTTCATTAACTTCTAGTCCTTTTGGTTACAGAAAGGAGGCTCATCTGTAATGTCTGGTCCGGGAACGCTACCAATTTCTTGGAGAGAGGCTGAGAAGGAGAACTAGCAAGCTCTCTTCCTCAGGGCTTACAATTCCCAGTCTTCCTACAACCAGGGCCAATTCTAGAAGGAGAAAAGGGATGTGTGTGTGTGTGTGTGTGTGTGTGTGTGTTCAAATTGCCCACTTATTTATCTTCAGTTCCAAAAATGCTTCCATGCTGGTCCGGTAGACAGATACTGGCATTTTTATACTTAGGCCAATTTCCCTATGCCCCTCTGCATTCTTGGGTCACATTCTTTCAACTTTATTCAAAAAGCAAGTCAGTGCTTGGGATATTCCTTCATATGAACTATGGAATCTCTGTAATTTTAAATACTAACAAATAGCCCCACTAAGGGCTGTCAATGCACTCCTGGAGCAAGCAAGAGCTAAAACAATAACATGGAGAGCTTTGAAGTCAAGGACAACTTTCCCTTCAAGTTAGCTAGTGATGGTACAAGAGCAAAGTCTTTTTGCCTTAGGTATTGGAACATTATATGACTGAAACTTAATCATGAACAGCTTTGTAGTGGGCTATCTCATGGTAATTCAATTAAAAAATCTTTACCTTGGGGTCAGCCTGTGTAGGCTGTGGTCTAGATCTAGCCACGGCCATGGCTTCCTGAGCTGTCCTCAGCCCTGGGTATGTGGGTCAGATCTGCACAGTAGCCAGCCACCCTGGCTTCTCCTGTGAGGCTGGGGATGCTCTGGGTGCAGGATGCAGCTTAAACTCCACGGCTTGTGCTTTATGAGTTCCTTGGAAGAAGAGACAGTACTAGCTCTTCATAAGAGGACAGTCTCAGGTGGATTTACAGCCCATCCAGAGATTCTAGCATGGACAGAGTAAAGCATGTAAGATGGCACTGTTCTCACTGGGAGGGAAGGGACCATTAGCCTGCTGGGTAGTGCTTCCTGTCTCTGAGGCAGCACATTCCGGATGCCTGCTGAAGACCATAGGGTAGCCTGGATTTGATGACTCTTTCTCTGTACCTAGACCCCACTCCCTCCTGCATCATGTCATCACTCCTGTGGCACCTGGGCTTAAGCTTTCTCTGTGCACCTTAGTTTGTCCCTAGCCACTCTGGACCAGTGAAGGCAGCAGTAGTATGGGCTGAGGAGAGCAGCCCTGGCGGCTCTCCTGGGCTCGGGCTACAGGAGGGATACTCTGGCTCTCTCATCTTGCTCCTGCCCCATTTGGAGGCATGAGAACTAGAGAAGTGTCTCTTAGAGGCCCTCCAGGGGCTGGAAAGACATGGGGCTTCTATCTGGTTCCATATGGATTTCCCCTTCATCTTAGAAACAACCATGCAACAAGTAAACTATTGCTAAGGACTGAGGGGCAGCAGAAGGGGGTGGTTAAGAACCTGGGTTCACAGCCTGGCTTAGAGTCCCAGCTTAGTCACTTCCTTGGCACCTGGCTTTTCTGGGTACTTACTCTCTTGATGGCCTGTCTCCTATGTTGTGAGTCAAAAGTGTGGGTGTGCAATGTGTGGTGAGGAGCCACCTCCTTAGACCTCCCAGCAGAGGAACCAAGAGATGGAGGACCACAGACTGATGGTCAAAATGGCCCATTTATTGCAAAGCTATTAGCATACTTGTAGCACATCTGAGGGATTTTGAGGTACAGCATTGCCTGTAGGTGTGATCGATCATTTACAGAGGTAAAACATTTCAACAGAGGCAGTTCTCTTGGGGGGATTAACTCAGGAGGCACTCTGTCTCCCAGGGGTATCTATATTACTTTTCTCTTTCCCTTTAGTTATACATATTAAAGAATTAAGTTTGCATCTGATTAATATTTCCAGTTATTTGAATAAACACAGTAAGAGTTCAAAACTTAGTTCTCTGGGCTCTGAGGGCAAATCATAGGTCCCAGACTAAGTCCTCAGGTTGGTTCAGCTTGTCCTTCCCCATGGGGGTCCTATTTTTTAAGTCATAACAGCTTGCATCAAGAGCATGCTTTCAAGATTCATTTTGATGCCAGGGTAGCTTTTCTGCCCTCCTCAGGTCCATCCAAAGCCCATAGAGGGACCCTCCTTTTTGGGGTGTTAGGAACTACAGCAACTGAAACCTGAGTCAAGTAATTATGACATATACCCAGGAGTAGATATATTTCAGAGTCAATGAACTCCCAAATATTAGGAGCATAGCATTAACGGTCTTTCTGTGTTTAAGCAAAGAACATTGCTCTAATAAAATATGAAAGGGCTATAGGGGAAATAGAAAAGCAAGTAATTCACTACAAATACAAAGCCCAGAGTTACCAGAAAGTTTAACTTATAGATAAGCAGAACTGACTTGGGGAATGTAACAATGAGAGGTAAAGCACAAAGGAAAGTTAAAGATAAACTCAGGGACTAGAGGTGCTCATAAGAGCACTGTAAGCTTCTGTGGGGGGAGGAAAAGGGGCAATTCACTGATGAAGCCTAAAACACTTAGGGTTAATTTCCAGCACTATGTCATCTGCCTGAAGGATAATTGTCATCTTCTTTATGGGGGCAGAACAGAGGCTTGCAGATTAGTACCTGTGAAGCATTTAGAATAGTGCCTGGCATGTGGTAATTGCTATATAAATGTTAACCAAATAGATACTATCTATTTGGTTATTAGACAGATCATCACAATTGATTTAGGCCAAATTGATTCTGGATTTTTTTTCATGAACCAAACTGTCATAATGCTTGAGTTGTAAATTTCTAGGCTGTTGCTGCTGTGGATGTAATGAATTGTCAATCACCATGGATGTAAGATGACATCTAAGATGCATCCACCGTGCAAATGAAGTCTCAGCTGGTGTGGCCCGGTTGAGCTACACTTTAAAGTGAGGCTGCTTAGAAATAAACCAGTGGTTGGCCTGGTGCATGGCTAGCCCTGCTGTCAAAGGAAATCTTACAGGGAACCGCAACACCAACTGGATAAAAAAACAAGCCTACTCCATTGCTTTAGGGTTGAAGTGGGGGTGACCCTGCACTGCAAAGTCAGAACAGCTCATTTAATGCTGGAGGTCTGGCCATGCCCCTGGTAAATGGGTGAGTTGACACTTGATAAAATAAATATGGCAATAAATGGATTTTCTTTTTGTGCTCTCCATTAGTAATAAAACATCATCCATAATTAGACTACATGGCAGGCAGATTGAGAGCACAGCACTGGATTTCATGATTAAATATTTTATATTTCCAGGAATTGACATCCGTGTACATTAACTAGAGTTAGTTTTTGTTCTCTCTCTCTTTCCTTTTGGGCATTGTGGTTTGCAATACAGATAGTGAAAGGTTGTTGTGTATATCCCTTTACCTACTTTTAATACAGTTCAGCATGATCATTTCCAACTATAATTGTTATGTTGGTCTTTTCTCTGTCTTACCTACCTTCTGCCCCCCCACCACACTTGTGGTAGATTGGTAGATTCCAGTCATTGACCAGTACTCCTAGCCTTTGTTTTCTTTGACCTTGAATATTAGTCTTCTACTATATATTTTTATATAACACAAATGAATGCAGTCATTCTGTATCAGGTGTCCTTCTCCTTCTGACTCATTTCACTCAACATGATACTCTCCATGTCCATCCATGTATAAGGAAATTTCATGACCTAATTTCTCCTAACAGTTGCATTGTATTTTGTTGTATAGATGTACCATAGTTTCTTTACCCATTTGTCTGTTCTTGGGCACTTAGGTTGTTGCCAGATTCTGGTGATTGTGAATAGTGCTGCAATGAATGTGGGAGGTGCAGATGGTTTTTCTGCTGAGTGATTTTGGGCCCCCAGAGTATATTCCCAGAAGTTGTATTTCTGGGTCAAGTGGAAGCTCAATTTCTAGTTTTTTGAGGAATGTCCATATTGTTTTCCAAAAAGGTTGGACCAGTCGGCATTTCCACCAACAATGAAGGAGAGTCCTTTTCTCCACACATCCACACCAGCACTGGTTATTCTTGTTCTTTTGAATGTGTGCCAGTCTCTGTACTGTGAGATGATATCTCCTTGTTATTTTGATTTTCATCTCCATTTTGATTAGTGATAAGCATTTTTCATATTTAACAAGTGCTGCTGAGAAAACTGAACAGGTACCTGCAAAAAATAAATAAATAAAAAAGAACTCAAACCTCTATCTAACAAAAGCCAGATCAAAATGTATTAAAGAACTCAACATCAGACCAGAATCCATAAGGTACATTGAAGAAAATGTAGGCAAAACCCTCCACTATATTGAAGCTAAAGCTATCTTCAAAGATGAATCATCACTGACCAATCAAATGGAAACAAAGATAAACAAACAGGACTACACTAAACTGAGAAACTTCTGCACCTCAAAATAAACAGTCACCAAGATTCAAAGACAGCCTATGAAATTGTAAAGTTTATTCACCTAATGCCCTCCTGATAAGGGCTTAATATCAAAGATATAAAAGGTACTTGTAGAACTTTACAATGAAAAAAATCCAATCCATCAATAAATTAGGAGAAGAAATTAATAGAAACTTCCTCAAATAAGAAAATGGAAAAAAAGACTATTTATATGCATTGTGGCCCAGGAGTATTGTTTGCTGGTGGATAAATAGAAAAGAGTATAATAGGAGAAAGAAGAGGAGGAGGAGGAGGAGGAGGAGGAGGAGGAGGAGGAAGCAGCAAATTCTCTCTTTTAATTAGAGTAATTTTGCTGGTTACAGATGGCCAGATCCAGTACTGGCTCTCTGCAGCGTTTGGGGCAAGAATTTCCATGTCACAAAGAGACTCAGTGGAGAATAGGGAGTTGTCCAATTTATTTCTACAAAATCTGGTTGATGTTGGGGAGATATTTTTTTTTTTTGCCTGGTTTTCACTCATGTCCCCAAGAGCTTACCCACGGGGCTGCAGCTCTGGCTGGTCAGTGGCAGTTGGGGAGGTTGCACCCATCTCTGTGTTGGGTGTCCTGGGTCCCCCTCTGCCTTCTTTAGAGTGAAGAATTCATGCTGATGGCAGCAAGACTGTATGACCTTCATGTGCTTTTCTCAGGCCACTCAGACTGTTTCCCCAGGAGCACTGGCTTTGCCAGCAGATGTCAAAGATGAATGGCAAAAGGAACAGATGTAGGAGCGGGAGCCTCTGGACTCCTTTTAAGACATGAAACACCTTCTCTTAAAAGATAGTCATAACTTATAACCTTGGCTTTTCATAGGTCTGTGTTATATGCCCACAATTTTTAGCCTGACATCTTCCTCTGGGCATTTTGGTCTCACATAAAGCAAATGTAAAGAGGCAGCTCTATTTGGGGTGGAAGGCAGCCAAAGGAAACCTGGGATGTGGCAGGAGCATGTTTAGTGCGTAGCTGTGGGGTCAGCACTGGGCACTGTGTGACACCTACAACCCCTTGTGTTTAAAGTTAGGGACCCTCCAAAACTGTTGTGTAAAGAGGGTGCCAGGGTAAGCTCCTCAAATAGACTTTGATGCTCCCTAAACACCTAATCAGGTGTGACTTAGATGCTTGCTCTGGACCAGCCCTGGGCCAGATCATGAGAGCTGCTGGGCTCCAAGACGTTCAAACTCAGCACATTCCCCTCTCAGCCATGGTCCTGATGCCCCATGGACACACACAATGGAGCAATGAATTCTGCGGTATTCACAGAAGTCACTACCTCCCCCCGCCCCACGAACTTCCTCAAGGAAGAGGTGTGGGTACCACCTGCTGGTCTATGATTGCTCCTGGGAGAGTGGGTTGGAGGTTGGACTATGTTTGCAGCTCACTGGGCTGGTCTGTGTCTCTGTCCTCTCAGCCTAAGGCCCAGCACACGAGAGTGAGTGGAGTATTTGTAGTAGCTTCCCCTTAGTCCTCTCAGCCATGTAATTATTTGAATTGCCCATTCCTTGTCTTCGAGGGCCTTAGTCAATTTGTCAAGTGAGCCTCAAGCAGCCCTCTAAGGTCATTGCAAGCCCATTTTCCTTGGATGCTTGAACTCTGCTGCAAGGATGATTGGGCTGGGAACACAAATATGGGACCTCTTCATGCCTCTTTGAAGTTCACAGTCTGGTAAACTAAGGCTTCAGCTACAAATGGGGGACATAGAATTAAGGGGGCTCCTCCTCGCCACTGACCCAGTGCTAATGCAATGTCTAGACACTCCCATCCCGTGCTTTCTGAGGGAGCAGGAGCATCGACATGACCTGACAGAGGGCATGTTCGCTCCTCCGGTTTTCAGAGATGTCATGGTGGGTGACACTGCAAATTGGTTTTGCAGAACCGCTGCAGTTGACAGAGTTCTGGAGGATGCCTGGCAGTTTCCATGGGGGGGGGGGGGGGGACTCAAGGGGGGGGAGAGGTGCAATTATTGTCACCATCACAGAGGCAAGTGAACTTACACTCAGAGGTCACAGGACTTCTCCAAAAGAGTGCTGAGGGGGATGCCAGGTCTTATTTATTCATTTTTGTTTGAGGGTCATACCTGACAGTGTTTAAGTCTCAACCTAGGCTCTGTGTTCAGCGCTCACTCTGGGCAGGACCCGGAGGACCATTTCGGGGGTCGGGGATCCCAAACCCAGGTCAGGTGCATGGAAGGAAAGTGTCCTACCTGCTGTACTATGGTTCCAGATCACTCAGATTTAAACTTGATTCTGTAATACCAGCACTAACCTCCTAACCCTTACCACGTCTGGATGCTACAATGTTTCATTCTGAGTGGTTTTTGTTCATGTTTCAACAGACTCAACAGAATGGCACTGGGAGGCTTCGGGCTGCACCTCGCTCTGCTGGCAGCCTCCCTAACCGCTGCATTGGGATGGATGGACCCCAGAACCAGCCGAGGACTGGCCGCAGGAATGGGGGAACCGCCGGCAGAGGTATCTCAACTTACAGCCAATATGACGTTTAGAAATGGTTGCTCGCTTGCCACTGTTACAGTCTTCCATGTGATCCTCTTCCTGTGCAGTGCTGAGTAGAGCAAGTGTGAATGGAAAGTGCGTCCTTGAGGGGACAGGAGATGGGGAAGGGGGAGAGACGAAGCCACTCACATGGAGAGGAAGGGGAGCATGTAAGGCTGGAAGGAGTGTGCTAAAATCTCTCCTGCTCCAGGCCTGTCCCAGACCAAGCTTTTGCTGATGGCTGGTCTTCTACAAATACCCACCAGAGAACAGCCCTTCTGTATATTTAATAAAACTCAGAAAATGCAGACTCACTGGTACAGCACACCCATGCTAAATAACCAAGTCTTTTAATTATAAAATATGTTTTTAAAATAAATGGACTCCTTTGCAGGTATATAGATTAAAAAAAAAAAGACGCAAGCTGAGGAAGAACTGGCAAGTAGGGTCCCTGAGGGAGTCCGCCTTAATGAACAGATAAGAATGATTAATGGCATGCTCCGTATAGGGAAATGCTTCCAAAGAGCTCCAGAAACGGAAAAAATGTGTTCTCGGATCCCTCCCTGGAGACTCTCCATAGACTGCTAATTGCTAAGTGAACTCAACTCTTCAGCGCTGAAGAGGATGCAAAGACCCAAGCTTTGCTGGGCTAGGAAGTCGGCCTCAGCAACGGGGGGATCACGAGGGAGGTGATAGCTCTGCCGAAAACATTGTGTATCTGCTGAACCTTGAGAAATGACGCCAGGTCAGGGGATGTCACTCAGCAGCTGAGCATTTGTCTTCCATGGGTGAGGACCTGAGTTCCGTGCCCAGCACCGCTAGCCAGGCTCAGAGCACAGGCTCTGCGTGCAAGCATGCCCCCTCCAACCAAACCTCCCGGGTCTGTCTCTGTCCTTCGGGTCAAACACCCTGGTATTTTCCTCTTGAGACCATGAATACTAATTCTTGCCAGAGAGCTTTCCCTGTCTTCTCTTCATTGTCTTCCTCCAAGTGTGCTGCGCTTCTCTCTCTGTCTCTGGAGTGAGGAAGAAGTTACCTCCCAAAGTCAACAGTGACTAATAGTACACGGTATTTGGTAGGATTAGTGCATTATTTGATCAAAAGACACGATTTCGCTTTTATTATTACTTAATTGTAATGCAATCCCAAACTTACAAGCCTTAATCTTCAGGGAGCTTCGGAAGTAATTTAATGCATACTTTTCCAGCTGAAGCGAGCGTGGCTTACTTTTGTGGTGAGCAGATGATTAAATAGAAACACTATCGCTCCCATCTAAATCCAGGAAGGACGCAACTTAATGCTCTTTTGAAAGAGTCTGGAGGCTGACTTGCTAGTGAGCGAGCCCAGCATTTCCCATATGGGAGCAGCTTAATCATTATACTTGTATCCATACAGAGGGAAAATGATCACTTAAATCCTACAAATCTATTGTTGAATATTTAATAGCAAAGCAAAGCGGCAAACACCCAGGTCTGCTTATTTAGGCTTCTTACTACAGGGCCTCCTTGGCCTCACAGTTTAAATTCACTTATTTCAATTAAAAAGAGTCAAACCAATTAAAGTGGGATTTAGCTGGAAGTAAATTGAAGGTAAGTTAATATCAGTCTGGAACCTTTTTATCTTTGCCGTCAGCTCCCTGATACTTTGGGTACTAGTAAGAACGAACAGTAGCTGTTGCCCCTGAGGATGTATGTTCTGTGCTCACGGACCCTCCACCCCCACCTCTTTAGCCCCTCTACTCCCAGTTAGGTTCAGCCAGGAGGGGTCATTGTCTCCCAGGTCCAGAAAAGTCACAGCTTCAGGGAAAGGAAGTGAAGCTTCTAAGGCTGAAGGTGGGAGCGGCTGCCCAGAAACCCCTTACACACCCTCCACCCCCTGCCCGGCTTTTCATTGTTAAGGAGTGGTAATTTGCAGAGTTCCAACTCACTCACTGAATGCCCTCCCAGGAGCCTGGTCCTCCCTGCAGTGATGAGGTGTCTGGCCTTGCTCCCCTCCTCCTAGGGGCCTCTGCTGGGATGCTTCTCACCCCTCTTTTCCATGCTTCTCAGTCACCATGCTGCCCCCAAGGCCCAGCTCTGGGCTTACTGCTTCCTCTGCAACTTCCTATGACACTCTCGGTCACACATATGTTGAATTCTTTGTCTTTCCCTACCTTTTTATTTAAACTTTTTTTCCTTAATCTAATATTTCTGGGCTGGACTGATAACAGCAGGTAGGGCATTTGCCTTGCACATGGCCGACCTGGCCGACCGGAGTTTGATTCCTCCACCCCTCTTGGAGAACCTGGCAAGCTACCAAGAGTGTCTCTCCCGCACAAGGCAAAGCCTGTCAAGCTACCCATGACATATTTGATATGCCAAACACAGTAACAACATGTCTCACAATGTTACTGGCCCCACTCGAGCAAATCGATTAACAAAGGGAGGACAGTGCTACAGTGCTACAGTACTAATATTTCTATTTCTGGGTGGTCTAGCCTCTTCTCATTGAGCCTGATAATTTTACAAGCGAAGACAGCCACTTACTTCGTTTTTGGTGCATCTGTTTATTCAGCCTTCAGGATTAGGTGGGAGGTCACCTTGGTGCTTTCAGATGTCCCACGAGCCCAGTCTTCCCCATGTGTGTGTGGGGGGGGGGGTGGGGACACTGAAATTATCCTGGGGGGTGGCAATATCCTTGGTGCAACTGGGGAATGCTTTCTGTTTGTTCCTTAAAGTAGGGGTGGAGAACTCCATCCTAAGGACCTGGTCCTGGTACATGTTGCTTCTTGTCTTCTGCCCCTTGGCCCATCTGTCTGTCCTGTGGAGCCCATGAATAGTGTTAAAAAAATATCCAAATGGCCCTTAGCATAAAAAAAACCTCCCTCACCTCTGACTTAAAGTCGATTTACAAAGGGACACTACATTTGTTTGTTTTTATGGAAAGGGGATGTGAGACAGAATAACTTTGCTGTCTCTGGTCTAGACTATTAAGAATTCACGGGTATGGCAGGTTCTTTTTTGGCGGTAGGAGGTGGGAACATGAAGGGACTCCAGAAAACTTATAACCAGTTTGGGGCCAGGGAAACTGGGCTTGCATCTGACTAAGATGGTTCTAATACTTTGTGAGTTTGGATTTCTTCTTGGATTTGCAGGTGTTAATGTATCCATAGCTCAGGTCCCCACCCCACCCCAAACCCTGTGAACTGCCTCTTGAAGGATTCCTCAGACTTGCAGGATTTTCAGCCTTGATTTCTGGAAGAATCAAGACCAACAGTTTTCAGAGATTTGATAAAAACATCAGAAACCCTTTTCAGAAATCCTTTATAGAAAGGAAGTGTGAAAATATTTCTTTGTGTGTGTTTCTTCCTGAGAGTGACACTCTACAAAATGTCCATCAACTAAAGACTGTTCAAGTACTGGGAGGACTTTAACATGATTTGATTTCCCTTTCAAGTTATTGTGCCAATTATTTGAGTGTCCTAAGGGTAAATAAGGATTAAAGGACCCAAGTATGTGTGCATGTGTTTTCACACATTTTAAAGACAGTTATAGCAAATGTGAGGGTTTAAAAAAATTATTGTTGTTTTATGTACAAAGACTGCAGTTGAAATAGCTTCAAGGAGTGCCCCTCACTCTGCAGGTAGATGGGAAGGAGCAGATCTGGCAGAGAGTCTCTGAGTCACAGCTGAGTGGCAGAACGGGGCCTCGAATACTGATGCGATTCTGGATTCAGAGGAAGCGACTCCAAGAAATTCTGAAAACGTTGCATCTGCCCCCTTCTCCTAGACCCCAGCCCACAGAAGAGTATAAAAAGAATATTGATAGAATTTTATTTTGGGATGAGGGGGAGGGTAGGAAAAGAAATACTCATGGTGGCCCTAAAAGAATCCTTCCTGTTTTGAGTGGCAGGTGTGTGTGGGAGGGCCCCCAGCTCTGGGCCCTAAGTGCTGTGTCCCCAGCCCACTTATGGGCTGGGACTGTTCAGTCCTTACCCAGCCTGGTCTTCCCTTCCTGCCTGTTCCTGCTTGTCTCTATGTGGTTCTTACCTAGAGTTCCTGGTCTTGGAGCCAGTCACCCAGATGGCCAGCATGTTTCCTTTGTCCCTCTTCGCACTTTTACTCTCTGTCCCGGTGCTCTGAGGCCTGGTCTGAGCACTCTCAGTGCTTGCAGATTTTCACGGGAGAGCCTTCAAGGTCAAAACACTCATGTGGTATCATTTGGAGCCTTGAATCTCCTCCTCCCCATCTGAGAAAGTAGAGCTCAGAGCCACCGTGGGGGCCCCAGGCTGTGCTTGGGGGTATGCCTTCCTTGAAGCAGCTAACGTGCTTGGTATCTGCCTAGATGGGCCAACTTCAGGAGGACTCGGCCGTCTGGACTGAGCAGGAATTCTCTGTCAGTGGGCATCACTGCTGTCACCTGCTTGGCTGAATTTGGGCAATGTTTCCCCTTTCACCCTTTCAGTGACATCAGCTCCTCCCCTCTCACTCCCCTCCCCTCTGTTCCCTTCCCCTCCCCCCACGCCCTGACCCTGATGCTCTGATTGAGGAGTGGATTGGGCCCAGGGTTATCTGGGCTCTTCATTCTTGGGTGCAGAGGCAGCTGGCTTCCTTTCCCCATGGACAGCTGGGTAGGTGGGGACTCAGCATTTTCTGGCTTCCTGTAGCCCAGGCCTTGGCTTTTCTGTGCCATTGCCTTTCCTCAGCATTCCCGGTGACTCCCAGCACTGGCTCCTTTTCAGAGGATCAGCGCCTTCAGGACACAGTGCCTTAGGGGTGGGAGTGCTCCTTTCAGAGCTGTGACTGCCGCTTCAGAGCAGCTCCTGGCTCCTGCTGCAGAAGTGAGGAGGGGTCATGGGGTGGGAGAAAGGGAGGACCTTTGTCTGGGCCTCCAGTTCTGGCCATGCCCATCAGCTTTCAGCCTGCATCAGATCAGGAGACCAGGAGGCAGGACGAGCAGAGCCAGCCTTTCTCCAGGTGAGTCAAAGGGCTAGGATGGGGG